AATAAATAAATAAAAGCCCTTCATATTATTTGGTCAGAATTAGGACAGGGCAAAGATGAATCACATGCAAAATAAAAGTTTTTGACATCATATATTTGTGTGTATTAGTGGTGTAATGGATCACAAATCTTACTGTTCGGATCACACTATGGTTTTTAAAAAACAGATCAGACCATTTTTCGAATCAGCAAAAAAGGGAGGAGAGAAATGTCATTTGCTTTCCATTTATACAAAATATTACTGCAAAAACTTTAACAAACAGAACTTAGAACCTGTCATTTTAATAAAAATAAAAATCAAGAAAGTACCAGCTGAAAAAAGAAAAGTATTCAATAAGAAAAATTGCTACGGTTGCTGATAATGCTAAATATAGAAGTCTAACAATTTTTAATTTAAATTAATGATTCAACAATTTATACACAAAACTTCATGTTTCATTATCGGTGGATCATTTTTAAAAACCTATTCAGTGACATAGGGCTCTATTTTGACGGTCCATGCGCACAGCGCAAAACGCAGGGCGCAAACGCTTTCAGGGCGTGTCAGAACGCATTTTTGCTAATTTAAGTACGGGAAATCCACTTTGCGCCAAGGCGCATGGGCTAAAAGGGTTGAGTTTATTTTCTTAATGAGTTATAGGTGTATTTTGAGAATAAACCAATTAGAGTCTCATCTCCCATCCCCTTTAAGACCCAGCTGTGTCGCGCCAAAAGTGCATTCGCTATTTACAGGACGCAAAGTAAGTCTAAGTGGAAAAAATTAGCATTTCATAAGCAAACAGTTAACAGTTAACAGTTTTTTTAACAGAAAACTGTTAAACAGAGCATCTACTGCGTGAGAATGTGAGATAATGGATCACTTTCACTTTTGCTCTTGGATAGGGAAACCTTTACGCACAGACATCAATTAGCCTATAAATAATTAATTTCATTTGTTAAGTGCAAATATTTGTTTCAAAACTATTTCTAAATTCAGTTCTAATTTCTAGCAAACGAATAAATGAACAATAATAACGAAGTGTGGTCAAAATACTGAGTTATTTCCAAATACACCTGCTATGCCCCATATGGTCTAAAACCTGACAGGTGGGCAAATCTAAGCTTGTTTTTACTAAAACAAATATAAATAAGGATATATTAAATAATACTGCTAATAAAAATAACATTATACAAAAGCAAATTGTTATGAATGAACTGAAAAAGCCTCCCGAGATGAAGAAGACATAAAAGCAGTGATTTTTCATATTTATGTAGGCTAGAAAATAATATGTTTTGTAATATTTTAATCCTTTATATTTATATTCTATATCTATCTTTTTTATATCCTATATATATCCTTAATATTTAAATTTTTTCATATGTAAAGATATTTGCCTATTGCTCTCTTGTGCATATTAAGCAGTGCGTAAGCGAGGCGCAACTCTGCGCCAGAGTTTAGACCGGGTTAGTTTTGGTCTAATGAAAAATCTATTTTAGTTTCTCAAAATAGCAACGCACCAGCGGTCCGCCTCAGAACACTTTCCTTTTTAGACCAGAACGCCTATGGGCGCACAAATGAGCGCTAATGCATTTGCTATTTAAACAGCATAGTGCAACGCCTCAAAACGACTCTTGCGCCAAGCTGAAACTACCAAAAGACTATTGTGCCGCGTCTTGCGCCACACTGCGCTGGGTGTATGATGATTTCTTTTATTATAGCTTTTAGCAGGCACCAATCACATTTAAACAAATTTCTTCTTTTATATTCTGATACAAAATGTTATATAATATCCAAAATTTTAATATGTAATATAAAATGTATAAGAAATATTTAGCCAACAAAATAACCGTGGCTCTTAAGAAAACTGATCCCCAAGCAATACCTGTAGGACGTTAACATCATTTTTTACCAATTGAGTTTAAACAGCTTTCTTCACTTTGGTACTCCTATTCAAAATGTAAAAGTATAAAATGTATAGGAAACATATAGCCAACAACATAACATGCATAACATTCTAGCTCTTGGGAAAACCAATTCCCAAACTGTGCCGAAAACACGCGGTAATACTTCTTGTTGTTTTCGTATGGTGACATCCAAACGCACTACCGCCACCTACTGATATGCGCGAAGTGGCTCTCCAGAGTGAGAGTTGTCGATTTGAAGCGTCTCAGTCTCATTGAATCAACATGTTCTGATCAAATCAAATTCATTTGATTATTTCTTGATTCAGTTTCAAATAACATGAACTAATCATTTAACATACTTAAACTTGATTTGTTCTTTTCAATCTGACAAATTTTTATTTTGTAAATCCAATACATGCCTAGTTGATTTTTTTAGTGTATGGGCTAAATAATGTAATTGCTACAACATTCACCAGCGTCAAGTTCCATTAAACTGATTTTAATCTTTACCATAAACATCATTGTTTATATCTGAACTATAAACTGTTCTCCCTGTTCTTCTGTGTTATTTAATTGTTTGTAACGAACTGAAAAAGTGTATAAACTGAATCTCTCTCTATCTAACGCAGATTTGAATGCAGCGCTTCGAGTGATAAATAAACATATGCAAATCATTATCATTTATGTAGCGTGGGTTTGAATTAAGATTACGATTTTTTTATGTTTTATTGTGCAGCTTTTCTCTGAATGCATTAATGGAGGCTAAACAAACACTTACAGAAAACACCTTTAAATATTAACCTAAGAAAGTATTTTGGTCCCACCACAACTTTTTCCGTCATCATTATATTTTGCTGGTAAGCCAAAATGCTTTCATGGATGTTATTTAAATGACGTGGAAGGCGATCTCTCTGCAATTGTTATAAATTGTATTATGTTGTATTAACAAGTTCAAGATAAGTTATTAATCCGCGGGTAAAGTCACGGATCACGGATCTACCGTGATATCCAGGCAATCCCATACTGTCCAGGCAATCCCATACTGCCTCTATAGTATTACAATGAGGTCTGGACTCTGGAGGTCACTTCATGACAGTTTTAGCTCTTTTGGTCTATAAATCTAAAAGTCAATGAATTATGTATTTTTTACTTTGATTATTATTTATATTTAATTTAATTTACCTTTTTTATATTACATAAATTCTTATTTGGTTTCATGGTGATATCCAAGTTTTTTTTTTGTTTTTTGTTTTTTTTATATTTGAATGTTCTGTACATATTGCTACATTAGAAATTAATAAAATTATTTAAAAGTCAATAAATTATTATTATATATTTTTTTATTCATTCATTTTCTTTTTGGCTTGGTCCCTTTATCTGTGGGAGTGCCACAGCAGAATGAACCGCCAGCTTATCCAGCATATGTTTTACGCTGTGGATACCCTTCTAGCTGCAACCCATCTCTGGGAAAACTATTGTTGTTGTTGTTGTTGTTATTATTATTATTATTATTATTATTAATATTAGTCTTTTAAAATATTATGTAAATTCTTATTTGGTTTCATGGTGATCCCCAAGATTTTTGTTTTGTATTTGAATGTTCTGTACATATTGGGGCATGAGAAATTAATAAAGTAATTTAGAAGTCAATTAATTATAGTGTGTATGTTTTGCTTTGCTTTTATTGTTGTATATGTTTTTATATTATATGTAAATTATTCTTTAGTTTCATGGTGATACCCAACATTATATTGTGTTTTACTTTTAATATTATTATTATTTTAAAATAATATGTAAATTCTTATTTGGTTCATGAATCTTTAGGGACTTCACAATCTGATATGATTCTGATTCCAGTTCTTATTCTTAACTTATCTTTTTTCTATTTTTTGCTGGTGTACATTTACATCTTTACAATTTTAATAATTTGAATATACAAAATCGATTCAGAAATTTTAAGAAACAATCTAGAATCGTTGAGAGAAAGAATTGCGATTCATCGATTTCATTTTTTTTCTTCCTCTCTAGGGGATACATATGCTTTTTATTTTGTAACATTCTGTACATGTGACATATGACAATTCAGAAGTCAATATAGTGTATAGTGTGTATTAAGCATGGGCCGGTATAAGTTTCTGACAGTATGAAAACCTTGGATAAAAAAAAAAAAACACTTTTACAATATCATTTTTTAAATGTCTGGGTAAAAAAAATAAAAAATGCCCAATTTTAACACAATATCTATATAATTTTAGCAAACATTTATAATATTTTGGAACAGTAAAGATGTCAGGCTAAATAATTAAAACAAATCATTGACCTCTGCTATCTTCATTAGTTTCAAAAGCACAGATTTCTTTATAACACATAAGAAACCTTACATACCTGTACGAACGGTATAACAGAAAACTTCTGTGGTTTTAAAACCTTGACTTTTTCACACCACGGTAAACCTTGAAACTGGTTATAGACCCATGCCTAGTGTGCATTAGTGTGTTTTGCTTTTAATATTATTTAAGGTTAATGTCAATTTAACTAATTTAATTGTTTTGTCAAAGCAAAATTATAGTTTTTTTTTAATAAAATGTTTGTAAAATATTTATTTAATTAGGAATAGCATTTTATAATATTGAAAAAGCTTTTTAAAATGATTATATTCATTTGTAATTGCACATTTTATGTGTTGGCAGTTCTTACAGGTATGTTTGTAGATTCTTTAAGGTTTTTTAAAGTGACTTGAAGTGAATTGACAATGCAAACCCGCTATTGTGTAAATGCTGAAATAAGTCGATTTTAGATTTAATGTATTAGAAATAAGGGATGAAAGATGAAATAAATTTACAATATTGTTAGCCATGTCGTCCGTATGCTGAGTTGCTGTTTGTAACTGGACGTATCCGCAGCAGTTACTCTGAATAAGCCTCAAGTGAGCTTTAATGCTTTTACGTTTGCATCAGTGTAATTGTAAAAGCAGTCAGACCGATTTGCCGTTTCATTCATGCGTGCCTGAAACAGAACGCATTTCGCAAATTGAGTGAAACATTCAATTCAGAAGGGGGTCAGGCAGGAGGATGGTGATCATTGACGATGCTTTTTGTCTGTGTGTTCATTTCCCAGGCCTCACTGAGTCTGTCATTGCTGCGGCCTGCTCCAGAGTTGGACAAAGTGTTTTGCATCTGGACAGGTACTACTCAAGATCCAATTAAACTGGAACATTTGGTTTAACACATTAACCCCTGTCACTGTCCTGCCACCTGCCACCATGGTTAATTTTAAATCTCTTTTTTGCAATCCTTATCGAATCATGACAAACTATGTCGTTGGAAAGGTCTAAGACTTCTGAATGCATGTTTTACCACTGTATTTAGTTTTTTTTGTTACTAGAGTAATAGATAAACACACATTCACTGTCACCCTACAACCTCAGGGACCATTTATATATTTAAACCATAATATTAGGCTGAACATAAAGGAATCACGACAAACTATATATCATTTGAAAGTAGGGCTGCACAATATATGATTTTATCATCAATATTGCAATGTGTGATTCTGCAGTAGTCACATCACAAGGATATGTCAAGTTGGAATTATAATTAGCCAGGAACTACAGTTCAGAGCGCATAATTTCATTGCAAAGTTTAACCCTTTTATAATAGTGTGAAATATTTTTTATTTGATGGGTTTTCAAGGCCGGTGACTAAGATTTCAAGTGAATTTAATCAATTTGGGCACAAGAAATGATAATGTTGGCCACTTTTACTAAGAAAGATTGTGTATATTTATACAATGAAGAGTACATGGTGTTATTGTACATATGAAATTACTTTTAAATGATTTATTTTATTTTTATCATTGTTTTCATTCATTCTTTAATTGGTCAATTTTATGTATTTTTGATTAATTATCTATATTTTCGACACTTGCCTACAGTATCCCAGAAAAAGTAAAACGATGTTACCCAAACAGAGTAACTGAAGTTATCTTGTGAAATTATGTTTATATCACAATATAAATCGCAGAAAAACAATATTGCCATGTCGTTTTCCAGTATCGTGCAGCCCTATTTGAAAGCTAAAAAAGTCTGGTTTTTGAGATACATTACTTAGCAACAGTTATTTGTTAATTTGAAACAAGGATCAGAGTCATGCCTATCAACATTGGGATTTGAAAATAAGGTATACCCCCCTGTAAAAAAAAAAGAAAACAAATAAATATTATATTAAATACTATATATGTTCATCTGGAGCTGTTTCATTGTAAATAAACCGTCATTAATATGTTTTATTATTATTATTATTTACGATGGATTGAATTAACCGTTTACATTAGAAAAAGCTGCAAATAAATTAGCAAACAGTTTAAGCAATTACAATTAAAAGCTAAATAAATCAATAGAATCAAGGTATCAAATCTCGTTCATCTTTTTCTTCACTGTGTAATTTAAACATTCTGATTAAAGAGCAACAAATGAATCTCTCGTTTAGATTTTTCGTTTGATTACATTAACATTAATAACAGAGGTGTTACTTTAAAAATGCACACATCTAACATTATAATGAAAGCATTCAACTGCTTACCTAACTTTTCATACCCTTTTAAGACAAAATTATTTATGTTTGAAAGAAAACCCACCAAAATCGACATCTTTCAATATTATTATTATTATTATTAATTTTGTGTATATGTGTGTTCAAGACGTTCAAACACACCCAAAACCTAGACTTTCGCTCTGCTTAAAATCGCATGTACAAAATCCATTTAGGAAAGTGCATCTGTTTATCACGATAGAGTGCGTCCATTATATGACTGTTTTAAGGATTGCATAGGAGGTGAAAGGCACCTGTAATGGAAAGGAAGGGAATCCATCTGTTTTTATATTTATTTCAAAGTGTTTTCATGCCTAAATAAAACGGAAGCAAAGAACAGACTTACATTTAACAGCAAGGGGTGTCCCCTGGTGATATGGTGGTATGGGTTGCTCTTTATTGCCACCCTGCATAGAAAGATTGAAAATACGGGAGAAAAACGGCAAGATACCTTTACGGGATTATAGCGTGATAGAACTGTTAAACAGGGGAGAATGCTGGAAAAAATGGGAGGGTTGACAGGTATGATCAGAGTCGTAAAGCACTACTTTGCTACAGCAATCCACTTGTAAAAAACAGTTTTAGAAGCTAAACTCAAATCAAATATCCCCAAACTTTCCATAACACTTTTGAGTTTTATGTCTGATTTACAAATATTGGCAAAAGTATCATACATATTCCTTGAAACATAAACAAAAATATGGGGTCTTGTACAGTCACCAATGGAAACTCTGAGTCATGGTGGTCATGTCTGATACTTAAACAGACTGCTTATTTTTTTAGATATCTTTAAATTTGGAATGTAGTTTGTTCAAATATTTATCTTTGATGTTCTGTCAATAATAGGCTAAAACAGGCTTTTGTAAATAAATGTGTTATGTAATAAAATAAAATATACATTTGTTGTTTAATTATTTTCATAAATATAAAGGCAGATAACTTTTCAAACTTTTTCACTTCAGCTACAGTGTTTTCTTTAAAATAAGACCAAGTGTTAGTGTACCAAAACGTTGAATATTGGCAATCATTTAAATGTCATTTTCATGTCCATGTTCAAAAAGTGAAAATGACATGAAATATTGAATATATTTCAGGTAAGGGGTTATATACTGTATTATTTGATGTATTTTTGTTTTGTATTTTCAAGTAAAGATTCCCAATGACTATGAAATGATATCTGTGGAAACCGATGCACACAAAGACTTTAGTGATGTTTAGTGAATTAATTATTCATTTTTATTTAAAGGAGGAACTATTACGCTGGAAACTGGGCAAGCTTCACTTTTAATGGCCTGCTGTCGTGGATTGAGGAATATAAGGTTTTTATATTATATGTTTCTAGATTATGAGCATTGCACCAATATAACTTAATAATATAATTTTAAAATTCTTTCATTTTTTTTAAACCATGTGTATTATTATTTGTTATTATTATTTTTTGTTGTTGCTAATGTGTGGTTTTGTTTACTATTGTGTGTTCAGAATCAGCAGGAGCTTCAGATCACAGAGTCGGAGCAAGAATGGAGGAGCTTGATTGAAGATGGGGAAGAAGCGGTGCCTCTTAACTCTGTCGATTCTTCTATTTCCAACTTAGAAGTTTTCTGTTATGCCAGGTTAGGATTAATTTTGTTTTGCTTACAGTTTGCACAAGTCAAAAACAGGTCCTTTGCAAATTTATAATAGCAGGTTCTGTATGTTTTGTCTGTCTTTGGTGGGTTTAGTTCAGTTAAAATGAACTCTCGTGTGATTGCTTTGTTAAAACAATGTTTAGATTAGCTTGGTCTGATTTGTAAATTAAATCTGCTTTGGTTATGACTGCTTTCTGGACAGAAGTTATCTAAACATTCCAAAATTTGGACCTGATAACAATATGTATAATGTATTATACCATAAAAACAATATGTGATTACAAAAATGATCCAATTTACATTTAATATTTATTCATTTAGCAGACACATTTATCCAAAGCTACTGACGAATAAGGAATAAAAATAAGGGCTAGTATAGCCCACAATAATGGCTAGTACAACAAAAATTTAGGAAGACATTATGGAAACAGAAATTAGAAAGAAATAAAAAGATTGTTTTTTTTTTTTTGGCTTCGTTTCCAGCCATTAAAAATGTTCACAATTAAATTTATATATACACTTAAAAAAATATTTTTGCTGCTTGTTTAAACTACTTAAAATAAGCTGAAACAACACAGTTCTTTGGTTGTTTAAGGACTTATTTATCCTAATCAATTTGCGTTTAGTTTATAGACTGTAAAAGGTATGGACGTAGGATCCGTGACATCACCCATAGGTTTCTAAAGGGCGCAAATGAAGCTGTGAGTGGGCGTGGCTAACCGGCTCTATTTTGTTCACGTGTCATCGCTCTAACCAAGGGTAACCAAATAAGGGTGGAGCATGCGTGGAGCTACATACGCATGTTAGCATTTTGCTTAGACAGGCTTTTCCTTGGGAGAAATATTTAATACTTCATTACCTTCGATTCGTTTGAGTTCTGACCACATTTGCTTGGTTGTATAATATATCAATTAAAGTGTTTAGTTTTTTTAAAAACACTGTTGTAATGAATTGAGCCACTAAACCGTGTTCATATGACTTGTTTCTACAGGAGAAAAATGCAAATTAACTCCAAACACTTAAAATATAGTATGTGTTAGTAAATGCAAGGCTTTTTATGAAATCCAGACTTACAGTAACCCTGTATGACAACGTATTAGATGATTGTTCTATAGCCTACAGCTAATCAATCTTTCAGATTCTGGATTGCAGCACAGGTCTAAAGAAAAATATAAATGATAAATTTCAATCACCTGGAAAATGGATGAAACTTAAATGGTTTGTGAGCACAATTAAGTGCATACAGCATGCCATATCATCTGATAATTGTAAGAAATAATTCCAAAAGGCAATTGACGGTGTAAAGGCAAATAAAACATAACAAAAATAAGATGTACAGTATATGCCGAGTTCAGCGGCAAATCAGCCAGAATCAGCTGACTTGAAGTGACGGCGACCAGCGAGACCTAGCTGTCACTCATGGTAAAGTGGTATAAGTGGTATAAACGAAACGTATGAGTTATAAAAAAAAAATTCACCTCACTCACAGTTGTCATGAAGGGTAATATTAGCTATATGAACCAAAAGCGTTCTTTGCACCAGGCTGTAAAAACCTTTTTTTTCTGTTGTAAAGTTGGCCATTTTAACTGCAGGGTCAATAGATATTTGCTCTATTAGGGAGCAAGGACTACCAGAATTTTGATAAATTCGCCGTTTCAGTTGCTTCCGTATTAGCTTCACGAGGGGGAGTGAGAGGTTGCCGCTTGATTTGAATGAGATGAAAGGATCGTGTAGAACCCATAATTTTTTAGTGTATGTTATTCTAAAATGTTTTTTTAAGATTTTTTTTTTTTTATGAAATCGTTTTGAATTACACGCTATATCAAATTATCTTAAAAATTGATATTTTTGTTGACTCCCCCTATACCTATTTTAGACCGTCCCCACCTCCTCAATCTTACGTCTTGCATTGGGGCATGCCATTATTATTCTCTCAATGATTTATGCAAAGTATTTAAGATATCATATTACAGAGGTGGCCAGATTTTTTTATATGAAGGGCCAAAAACTAAACTTTAGATTTGTTAAATATACCAAACAGCTTTGCAATTAATTTGCCTCTGTAATTTCATAATTTATTTCCTAATATATAAATGTTGTTACTAACCATTACTTGCTATCAAATGCTATTAACTAATGCAATACAATTTTTAACGTTTTATAATGAACTTAAAAACCCCCTTTATAACACAATGGAGTTCAATGCTGAATACAGCTGTCAGCCTGTTGGGTGGCAGTATTTACATTTTAAAAATCGTATTCATTTACAACATTAAATTTTAGTTTGCTTTTTGTACTCAATAAAGCAATAATAATTATAATAAAAATAATAATAATAATGAAGATTTTATTAAAAAAGAAAAGGCATTTTCTTCAACCGCATCCCCATCATTCTCCTCTTTTTAAATGGGATGATGGGTCAAATCAAAGATCCATGGGCCAAATTTATCCTATGGACCCTATAGTTTGGGCGTCTCTGTCCTAAAAGAAGATTAATTATTTGTCAGTTCTGTTATTGTGATATTTCACTGAATTTTCCATTCACTCTTTAAACACAACAATATGATAACGACATAAAACTTTGCTTTATGTCATGTGGAATCTGATTTCTGGTTAGTATCTTGAGATAAAGCACAAAATGGTGGAAAAATGTCATTTCTCTTATTGCTTTGAAAGGTTTAACAATAGGATAAACAGCATTTATTTACAGAATCAAATGTTCTCCATCACATTTAAGGATTTTGCATACTTTACATTCATAATGTATGTAGTTTACTTTAATATTTAAACTTTTATATCATTCCAGTTCTAGGAAAATGAATGTAAAATGTTTAAATTTGCCTGCAGTTCTATTTTTAGATTTATTATGGCCTGAAAGAAAGCAAAAATCAAACTTTTGGATCGCATTGTATAGTGTAGTAGACAATTTCAAATGACTTCCATTATGTACTCCACGAAGAACATGCATTTGTTATCTTAATGTATAATCAATGTTAAAAAGTCCTATCATCATTTTATTAGTCTTTTAGATGGTGTAGCTAATTGTTGTGTCCTTAATAGTGAGGAAGAGGAGCAAGAAGAGGAAACTAAAGACCTGTTAACATGTCCGAATGCTGAAACTGTATCAGAAGAGACCAACAGTGACTCTACAGAAACTCAAGACACGGTTACAAGTGATGATGTTACAGAATCAAATGTTAAAGTGCAGAATGAAGAGAATGAAGATTCTGCGCCAAAAGAGCAGCTACATGCATCGGATATTTCTGAACACAGCCAGTCAGTGGAGGAGAAACAGCCCAACAGAAGCCCAGCAGATCCACCTGCAGAGCTGCAGAAGAAGATAACATATCAAAAGCTGTTGAAAGAGGGACGCCGGTTCAACATTGACCTGGTCTCAAAGGTTTGTGTTGGGTTTTAAATGATAATCAGAGTAATAAATATTAGTAAAGCATTTTTAGTCAGCCAAAACAAAATATGGCTCTGTAGAACTACTCTGACATTGTTTTCACATTTACACCCAGCGAAAGCCACAGGATTTTTTTATATGGGGTGCTAAAGGAGGGCTTAACATTTTAGTGGGGTTGCTAAAAATATATTAAAACTAGCTTTAGCTACCTAAATAACATGCAAAATCAGCCATGTATGTGTGATATAATCAGAGGCTTTGAAAAGGGCTAATTTTACTTTTTTCCTGATGTATCAAACTTTCAGACCTCCTAGTTTTTTACCATTTTTTTGTTATTTTATTTATTTTTTTGCATTAAAATGGCTGATTTTGTGGCAGTAGTTCCCTAAAATTTTAGGACAATATACAGCCAAATCGCACTGCTACGAGTGTGATATTGTGTTTATACAACAGTTTGACGGCATAGTTGTGTATATAAAAACAAAATCAAGCATGAAGAGTCTCAAAAACCCTTTTTTATGAGGAACTACTTTCTTCCAGATTCAAAGCATAAGCTGACAGTTAAACAGTTGAGCGTGCATCTTTTAAACTTTAGATCTGTAGTGTCTGCTTTTTGCTGGCTGTATGTGGGTGTAGTAATACACAATGAGTAAAGTGGCTGTAGGAGTTCTGATATTGCAGAATATCGCACGACTATCAGCCAATCACATTTGAGAACCAGACAGAACTGTTGTATATATATATATATATATATATATATATATATATATATATATATATATATATATATATATATATATATATATATATATATATATTTAAAAAAAAAAAAATATATATATATATATATATATATATATATGACTAATCAGCGCAGATTAGGATCACGGTAAGGAGGGGTTTGGGAACAAATTAGTCGCTGAACAAATTGTTAGAAATCATTGGAATAATTTGGTAAAAATAAATGCGTATTCAATTAAACTCTTCTTCAATTCAGCTTTTCTTTATGATATGTTTAAATTTCTTTGTTCATTTTTTTATTGTAAAAAATAGATAAGGTTCTGAAAATTCCAGCCTGATCTCACGAGGAAACGTATATATTTTATGTTTTCAATCGATCATTAGATTGATTGATTGATTGATTGATTGATTGATTGATTGACAAATTGATTAACTGATTGATAAGTTGAACATGGACAGATTCAACAAACTTTGAGCACATCCTAGATGTGGATAGAAAGATAGATTGACAAACTTACAGATGGATGATAGCTAGACAGATGTATAGGTTGATTGTTAAACAGATAGATCAATAGATAGATGGATGTATGGATGGGTGGATGGATTGATGGATAGATGGATGGATCAACACACAGATGTATGGATAGCTTGATAGATGTATAGATTTATTTATTGACAAACAGACAGGCAGAGATATGGATGGATGGATGGATGGATGGATGGATGGACAAAATCGATCATTAGAGATCAGTTTAATGGCTACTTCGTACGAGTTCAGTTTTTCAGTTCAAGTCTACCTCCGAATTTTTTCAGAAAATAATAACTAGAAACCTACGCGTCACTTGACAGGCAGTTATCGCTACATCACCGATTTTGATCCCACCCCAATAAGGATTTTAAACCCGGAAGATAAATTAGCTGACAAAAACTCAAAATAATCCCCACAATTAAAGCTAATGGGTGTTAATGTTGTCTTAATTGATGCTCAACACACAAATCTGTTCAAATCTCGAAAAAATACTAAAAAGGAGGCGTGGCACCCAACCCCACCCCTAAACCCAACCATCATTAGCAAATTGTGCTAAATTTGTATGAATGAGATTGTACGAATTAGCCACTAAATCAAAAAATCGTGTTGAAAAATTCATATAACATATTCATTCATATTCATATTTCCAGGCAAGCTTTATTTTTCATAGTAGCTGCTCACTGGAAGCATATTATGTCTTATTAACATCAAATGATATAAGATTAATTTAATCAAATACATTGCGTCTGTCAGGTATCATTAGTTTTTCATGCGCCAGTCACAAAACTACTCACCCCAACGTCACCCATCACCACTGTTTACACCGGCATGTGTGAATAACTACTTCAAACAATTACAATGACTTACTAAAATACTGTTAGGTAGTGATTGAAGCCTAACGTCTAGCTTTAAATGAAGTTAGACAGCAATAAAATGAAATTGATAGTGTTCTCTTTGACCCTCTTCAAAGCTGATGTATTCACGTGGTGCACTGGTGGATCTGCTCATTAAATCTAATGTGAGCCGCTACGCAGAGTTCAAGAACATCGGCCGCATCCTCACTTGCAGAAATGGAAAAGTGGAGCAGGTATGAAACTGATATTTTCAGCTAAATGATTGTGATAGTGTTTTATTTTCTTCAGCTACATTAAGGTCAATCATGTCCAATCTCAGTTGTCATTTGAGGAAAACATATCTTTAAGTCTATCTGTCTATCTATCCTTCCTTCTACCCCTCATTCTCTTTTATCTTGTACTGTCTGTTTTTCCTTCCTTCCTTCCTTCCTTCCTTCCTTCCTTCTTTTTCGTTCTGTCTATTATCTTTATCTCTTCTTGTGTGTCTGTCTATTTATATATCTAATATCTGTTCTTTCTTTCTTTCTTTCTTTCTTTCTTTCTTTCTTTCCTTCTTTCTTTCTTTCTTTCTTTCTTTTGTTGTCTTTCTTTTTGTTTTTCCTTTTGTTCTTTGTTTTTTATCTTTTGTTCTTTTTTGTTCTTTCTTTTTTCCTTCTTTTTCTTTTTTGTTCTTTCTATTTATTTTTGTTCTATTTTTTATACTTTCTTTATCTTTTGTTTTTTCCTTTTCTTTTGTTCTTTGTCTCTTTTTTCTTCGTTCTTTAATTTTCTTTTGCTCTTTTTGTTCTTTGTGTCTTTCTTTCATTCTTTATCTTTTGTTCTTTCTTTTTATTATTTTGTCTTGTTTATTATTTTTCTTTTTGTTGTTTGTCTTTTTCTTTCATTATCTTCTGTGTGTTCTTTTTTTCTTTCGTTTGTTCTTTTCCTTTTCTTTCGTTTGTTCTTATTTTGTTCTTTGTCTTTGTTTTTGTTCTTTCTTTTTTCTATCTTTTTGTTTTTTCTTTCTTTCTTTCTTTCTTTCTTTCTTTCTTTCTTTCTTTCTTTCTTTCTTTCTTTCTTTCTTTTTTATCTGTCTGTCCTTCCTCCCCTTTCTCTTTCTTTCTGTTTTTCCCTCCTTCTTTCCTTCCTTTTTTGTCTTTCTATAATCCTGCCGTGTTTGTCTGTCTATTTATCTTTCTATTATCCATGTCTATCTATCCAAAGTTCTCTATCCCTTGTGTTTTTCTGATGACAGCTTTATATTTTAGCTCTAACCTGAAGCATCCTGATTCAAATTATTGGAGCGTTTTAGACAAGATAAAAAAAATGATTAAATTGATTTTGCGCCCGATTCCTCCATTTCTATTTACTAATGTACCTGATAAGAGCATTTGACGCAAAAGGTGTTTCTCATTTCACTAAATGCCGCATTGCAATACAAAATCCATCTGTGTGAGTAATTTAGGGCTAAAGGTAAGCTGTTTTTTCTCACAAATGTTACACCCCCCTCTGTACTGAGTGAGTGCTATATATATATTTATCTCACATGAACACGTCATTAACCTGCTCTGTCCTGTTTCTTCCTCCAATGAAGGTCCCATGTTCACGGGCAGATGTGTTTGCCAGCAAGCAGCTGACCGTGGTGGAGAAGCGCATGCTGATGAAGTTTCTTACCTTCTGTCTGGACTTTGAGCAGCACCCAGAGGAGTACCAGGGTATGACCCCTTGTGTTTGTTTGCCTGCAGCCTTCTGGTTTACATGCTACATCAGAGATCTGTCAGAGATGCTTAACGTACAGTACCTTTCAGGTTAAATCAAATAAAAGGTATAATTTTGAAAAGGAAGTTGAGATTAATTCCAAACTGACATTTACATTTAAGTCATTGTCCAAAGCGAAAATTAACTAACATGAATGTTATAAAGGTCTTACTGTGTAGTTCACCAGTGCATAACAACTGCAAAGACAGAATTTGTGGACAGGAGAAGCATTATTAATCAATTATGTTGTAGCCTAACATCTGAAATCCAGTCAAAGGTCAATGCATAAATTCACATTATTTCCCTTTCACAATGTCACACAGATTTCAATGAATAATTATGTAAATATCAAAATGTATATTTTCATATAGCTGTTTTTTTATTCCAAACTCAACTGATTTTTTTTTAAAAAGCAACCTTTTTGAATAATTGTATTTTTGATAATATTTTTGAATTATTAAAAGGTGAATATTCACCTTTTAAAATACTTATTTAAATGTAAAAATGTATGTACATGCCATGCAAATTGCAATAAAACTATAATTATAAGTAAAAGAAAGCATAAATAAAAATAGGAAATATGTTTATTTTTACATACATAAGTAAAACTAGTTTGTGATGAGCATTTGTATGGCCTGCTGTGGCATAATGAAGACCTTTTATGCCAATAGTTATAAATATTAAATATAAATGCATCAATTCCTTATTATGCGTCTCAACCCGGGGGTGCGTTTCTGAAAACCATTGTTAGCCTACTAAGGTCACAAGTTCCGTCATTTGGCATTTCCCAAATTTATCATTCCAACAAACATTCACAAACTGCATCGCAAACTTGTGCACTTGCGACTACACCTCTGGAGCTGTAGTTAGAAACATAGTTCCTGGCTGTGTGCCCCCTAAGCCCTATTCATTTAGAACATTCCAACGTTTAAACTTAGAAATTATTTTGAAAAAGCATTAAGGTCATCTCTCTAATTTGCTTTCAAAGTATTTTTACAGTTCAGTTTTAGCGATCTTCATGATTACAATTGAGTTGCCTTTGTAGTGCACTTTGAAAACATTTATGTAATTTTGAACACAGCCATGGCTCATGACGAAAGCTATAGGTGACCTACTATTTAAAAGCGGACTTTGTTACGTCTCCAAAGATTGTGAAAAGACAAAACATGGCATACGTTAATGCCTTTAATTTATAGTAGGTCATTTATTAAGTATCTGTACTGTATATGACATGGGCCTGTTGGTTAGAGCATTTCTGCAGTGGTTTGCATCTGTCCAATTGTACAAGTAGACTCTTAAAAAAACAAACAAACAATATCCTACTTGATAATAATCATTATTATTATTATTATTATTATTATTATTTAAGTAGAAATTCATTTCCTAATACATAATAAATATTAAATTTCTTTTCTTAATAAATAACCTAATTATTTATTTATTTATTTAGATGATTTGTATATAACATTAGAATAGGTGTTATCTTTTGTAAGTGATTTTATGTTTTAGAATACAATATGTAATGTTCCCAGTAATATTTATAAAGGAACCATAAGCTCTATATGCGCCATTTTCATATATTCCAATTAATATGGAAAACGAGTTTGTTGTTTTGTTTTTTTTATACGTGTGCATGTAAAACAAAATAATTTGCACAAAGAAATTATCGATTTTTTTTTTTTCTAAAGAAGTTGTTACTCCACCCAGTTTAGAGCGCCTATATGGCCGCTTTACGTTATAACTAATGTGGTTTAAATGATAGATCTGCAACAAAGAAACTACGGGTTTTGGAAAGCCCACATCACCACATCGTTATTTTCCCAAAAGATGCATTGTACTATGATAGTTTAATTGCAAGTTATGTCGTTGTTTGGGAAATGCACCCCAGAAAGGAATGTTTCAAATTTAAGGCAGTTCCATTGTGCATTTTACACAGAGTGAATTTTTCAAATATGTAGATTTATTAAGTTCAGGTCAAATTGCGCAAAGGTCAATCGCATGTTTCATATACACAGTATAGCCATATACACAGCCTTTCATACTATTTATAAAGGCATATAAATAGTATCTGTTCCAGCCATATACACAGCCTTTCATACTATTTATAAAGGCATATAAATAGTATCTGTTCCAGCATCTGTGTTTTTCTCTCCAAAGGTTATAATCAATCAGAATGTCTGTGTACTCGGTTAAATAGAGATAAGAGCTGCAAATTACCTTTTAATCACTTTGTGTTTAAAATATGCATAAAAACTGAGGAACATGCTATAATAGTGTATACAACAGTTCTGTCTGGTTCTCTAATCTGATTAACCGATAGCTGTGTGATATTCCCGTAATAACATACAGCAAACTCATACAGCCTCTTCATCCTTGTGTATTACTCCGCACACATAGATTGACAGCAGATGAATAAACTCACTACATTTTGACAAATATTGCTGCTGTTGGACAACATAATGTGCTTTTGAGGCTTTTTTAGGTGACAATGTAATAGTCTAGATTGCAACTATGCAGTTTATTTAGAAGGATGATGCTTATTATAAATATTTATATTTGAACATCAGCGGCCATCAGCCTGGCATCCTTAGCAGAGCAAAAAGGGTTGACATTTTACCACAAGATAGCAACAGAGACCGCATAATAAGTCCTTATGCTGTGTTTACATCAGATGCGGTACACAAGGATAAATCATGCTAAATAGACGCGTAAACATTTTGATTTTACTCGCTTCATTCGTGCATCAAAACCACTTTATTTGTGCATTAAATTCACTTCACAATAATTCACTTCGCGTCATGGGATGGACTTCTGTCTGCCCAGCGAGTCTAGCTTCCTTGCTAAATGGCTAATATGAATTTAATTGAGAGAATAGCTGTTTATGTTTTTTAGGAAGGCTGAAAAACAGCTTTAATTCTTTGGAGCTGTGTCTGAGTCCACTAGATTCCTTCTGATGTGCACCCAGCTCTGTGAGTTCATAAACTTCTCCAGAAACTATACCTGGATGATGAAAGTTTTCAAACCAAGCCCAGTTTGATGAGATGTGTCCGGCGTCAGCAGGAGGATTCCCCCCTGAGACACCAACAACAGGTGCTACGTCATAATCACTCCCCTACAAAAGCAAGCTCCTGATTGGTTAACACAGCGCAAATGTCTGCTGAAGTTTAGATTTTCTAACTTGAGCGTTTCAGTAAAATGTCGCTTCATTTGTGCGAATAGCATTATTCGTGCCACCTCATTTGCTTGTATCGCGCCGCAGGATGTCTATTCACGTTTTTGCATTGACATAACTTGTAAATCACTTGCGCTTGACACTTCTTCGCGTCTGGTGTGAACGCAGCATAAGGGGCGAAAAACTCCAGAAAAATACTCTTAAAAACTACAGCTGATCAAATCATTATAAAGCAGGTAAGTAACATTCTAAGTCGATCTCTCTCTTTTCTATTTTGTAGTGCTGTATTTATGCCATAGTAATCTGCTAGTGTCTGCTTTGCTTTGGCTTTTTGGGTTTAATTATTGTGATCTCCAGATTGCAACAGAGAAATACTCAGCCTTATAATCTAAAATGTAAGCAAAATTACCTGTATGGTCATCACTTTAGATAATACAGTCGAGAATCATTCAAATATTAGCTATAAAGTGACGTTGGTAAATGAGCAATGGTTTCTACTGTTCTGACCATCAGCTACAGATGTGAACAAATGGTGGAAGAAAGTAGTTCCTCTTACAAAAGGGTTTTTGAGTCTCTCCGTGTTAGATTTTCTGTTTTATAAACATGATTATGCCATCGAACTGTTGTATAAACGCAACATCACACTTGTAGCAGTGCGATAGGGCTGTATATCATCACTGGTGTGGGGCACTAAAGCCACCTGTCCACTCAACACGATGTTTAGACATGACTGTTGGAATACGCCCCCTTGTGGCAGTCGCACCGATTTTTCAGCTTTGTTGTGCACCATAGGAGAAAAGCTGATTCTTGCAGTGTCCGAAATAAATAAAGGGCAAAAGCATGAGCCTTTATTCATGGTTCATATGGTCATGGAAAAGTCATGGAATTTTGACATGGCATTTTCCAGGCCTAGAAAAGTTTTGGAAAAGCAGAAAAACCCACAACGTTTTGGAAAAGTCATGGAAATTAGTTTGACAACTATCTGTATACTTAAATTAGGGCTGCACGATATCGGAAAAATCTGACTTTTCGATATTTTGTATTTCTGTGATATATATTGCGATGTGAATACAATTTCACCAAATGATTTAACAGGTTTATTAGGATTGATTGGGGGATTTTCTATTGGAGTGAATCTCAAATAATATAGAACAAATAAATTACATGCATAGATAAATCAAATATAGTAAAGATAAAAGGGAATTATAGTTCTCAGGTATTCACTATTCAGGTACAGATATTGAAAAATCAACACTTCAACAATCAATCTTCATTGTATATTATTTCATCTTTATTAAAGTTACTAAATATTTCTTGTGGATGGATGTTGTAAAATTGAAATATTGAAATGTTCACACAGTCACAGGCTTTAAAGGGACAGTTTACCCAAAGATTAAAATGTACTTACTATTTACTCACACTTCACTTGTTTCAATACTATAGTAGTTATTAAATTATATTCTTTTTGTGTTAATTAAAAAAAAAAAAAAAAGCTGAAACGATATGTTGTGCAACCAATGTGTCAATGTGTATGAACTCTGTTTATTCTTTGAGCAATCACCATGGTTGAATCAATGAATTAATGAATACTAGGAACTCAGACTGCCAAGCATTTTGGAGGGAATGTGGAGACTACATTAAAAATATATATATATATATTTTTTTTTTTATGAATAGAAATGCTTTTTTTTTTAGACTTTTTTTCTGATTTGAAAAAAATATATATCTTATATTGCGCGCATGGACCTGCTTGGACAACACTGAAATACCTCACATTCAGTCGGCCAGTTGCATAAAGTATAGTCGCAGGAGTTCAAATATTTCAACATATCTGCAGCTCAAATCTGATCCGAATTTTTTGCATACAGAGATGATCAGAAACAGCTCTCCCGGACTACTCTCCATTGGAAATGAATGACTACCGGTTGGTTGCTTGTCCTTTGATGTGTGCAGTTGAATGGCAGCTTAAAGGGCCGATCACACTGAACACGGTTTATGCGTTGAGAGATGCCTCTTTTGAATGGTTTACTAATGGCCGCGAGCATTTTGCATGCTGCCTAAGCACCCTGCGGTCCTTGCATTTTAACCGCCTGCTGCGCCTTGTGTTTTGGCCCTTGCGCGCCATGCGCTCTCAATTGAAAAAATCTTTGAATGGAAAAAGCATGTTACGTCACTTGCGTCTTTTTCCTTCTCCAATCAAAGGAAAGCAGAGGCGGGGTTTTCATTAAGGGTGCCTGCAGTGTTTGTGTTGTCAAGACAATGATGGAGACTTTTGAAGACGGAGAAGAGACTTGTGGTTGCTGTTTTGGGTTATCCAGAGCTGTGACTTTACAAATCATGAATCTCACAATATTATAAATTATTGAAATTATATTAATATCAACAGTGACACTCCCGAACAACACCCAACTGATATAGTTGTTGCCTAGCATCATAAAAAAGCGCACCACGCTTCTTTTGTTCTTGTCTACAATTCATGAGTCAATTCATGCGTCCTACCAGTGCGGATATACAGCCATATCGCACTGCTACTCCTGTGATTTTGCTCTTGTATTTCATTCTATCTTTTGCAGTAATACGTCTATTAGTAGATCTTATCAGGTTGTCTTCATTTTTATCTTTGCAATAATAGTTTCAAAATTGTTTTTTAGATTACTCAGAGAAACCGTTTAGTGAGTTCCTGAAGAATAAGAAGCTCACTGAGAACCTTCAAGATTTTGTCCTGCTCTCAATCGCTATGGTGACGCAACAGACCCTCACGGAGGAAGGACTAAAGGCCACACAGCACTTCCTGCGATGCCTGGGTCGCTACGGCAACACTCCCTTCCTGTTCCCCCTCTATGGCCTTGGAGAAATCCCACAGTGCTTTTGCAGGTAAACTTTACATGATTCTGTTAAAGAATTGTTAGAAGACCTTTTTTTAAGGTGGCTTCACATATGGGTTATTTTAAAGAGCCCCTATTAGGGTTTTTTGAAAATGACCTTCCATGTAGTGTGTAACAGTTTTAAGTGAAGTGAAATATCCAGCTAAGGCTTAAATCTGAAAGTGCAAAGTGTTTAAAACTATTGATTGATCTATAAGAGTGGACTCGGAAGTGCTTCAAATTACTTCATATCGAGTCTTTAGGCGTTTCGACGTGATGTTGATGCGAAACTTAAGCCCCGTCCAATTTTTGCGCACTCACAAACACTGAAGCAAAGAAAAAGAGGAAGACAAACACTGTAGCAGATCCCGGTTGAATCAAGTTGTGTAGATGCTGTACTCAGCTGGATATTATTGGAAGTATGAGGGCAAAGTTAGTGTTATTTTCTCTACCCAAAGATGAAACTGTGAAGAGTCAGTGGTTGAGGTTCATTTTTGCAAAAATTCCTCTGCATTATAGCCTCAGCTGTGTTCCCGTAATTTTTGTATTGCATTCAATTATTTCTGTATTTCTATAGCGCTTTTACAATGTAGATTGTGTCAAAGCAGCTTCACATAGAAGATCATACTAAATTGCAATGGGGGATTTGTTGGCCGTTTGTTAAAGGGAAGATCAGAAAAGACTATTGATGTATGGGACTTTGTCAGAGCAGGTCTTTATTTTACGCGATTATAAGGGTCATCCCAACACCCCCACCCCAAGTCATCAGTTCACTCGATCATAAGCATCATGCAAACACCCTCCCCTACCACACCGGTCAGCATTTCACGCGATCATAAGCATCAACTGCCACCCAACCCCAGTCTTAAGGGGTCATAAGGATCATGAAGCGATCTTGAGGATCATACCAAACACCAAACCCCACTGTAAAATATATAGTCACTGGAATGTAAAGTAGTCACTGAAATGGCCCCCGTCCAATTGGAGTTTGAGACCGCTGCTTTAGTCTCTTTATTAATCTGGGGTTGCCACAGCAGAATGAACCACCAACTTATCCAGCATATGTTTTAAGCAGCCGATGCCCTTCCAGGTGCAACCCATCACTTGAAAACATCCATACACACTCATTCACACACATACACACTATGGAAAATTTATCTTATCCAATTTACATATACTGCATATCTTTGGATTTGTGGGGGACACCAGAGCACCCGCAGGAAATCCTTGCGAATACAGGGAGAACAAACAAACTCCACACAGAAATGCCAACTGACCCAGCCGAGGCTAGAGCCAGCGACCTTCTTGCTGTGAGGTGATCGTGCTACCCACTGCGCCACCGTAATGCCCAGTTTAATACATTACCTCCTAATTATAAAGTTATATAACGTAAGTTGCTATGTTTTCTTTTATGATGTGGATTATATCTGATGCAAACAACTTGGATTTTTATTTTCATCTTTATTTTGGGAGCTGCACATTGATGGATTTGCTCTTCAGTGTTTGGACTTTCAGCAGTGAAAATTAAACCACACTGTCTAACTTGTAATTGAAGTTTAAAAAACATTATATCCCCTTTTAATTTAAAATTTTGGGATCTTTACAACTCCGCTTTAGCTCACACGCTCTCAGCTGTTAGGGGGAAGGGTAGAAAGCAGGCCGTTAGAAGGAGGGTCAGAGCTCTGCAGGACTGTGAGTGTTTGCTTTTAGCACTTTGAGTCTGCTGGGAGCTGTGCTGTGAAACGGTGGCACTTAGAGACGAGCGGTCTTCAGCCGCGTGCCGCTGAGAGGAATCATCATCACAGAAACCATGAGCTGGCGTCAGGCCAGGTTACAGAGAACATCTCCCCAAAGACAAGTCGAGCAGTCGAGTGTTTATCTAAAACTCACATATGACTCCAATCTCTTGTTTCAGATTCACTATAAGAAATAAATCTGTTTACTAACACGTTACTTCAGTGCGGTTGTACAGCTGATATGCATAAAATAGGCCAGTTCTAATTGAGATGGCAGACCAATTGTTAAAACTTGCAATGTAAATATGTCAGATAGACATCGATATTTAATCTTTAGTAGATTTGATTGTAGCATCTGAAGTTTCTGATTTGGCTGTTATGTAATCATGTTCTGCGATGCGATTTTATCTTAACTCCACGTAAAGGCAACTTAACCCTCCACCTTACAATTAAAGCCTGACGTCTCTCGACTGAGAGATCTGTGAATTTTAATGCGCCTCCTCGTCTGTGAGGCAGATTAATTAGCATTTTTGATTTCCATAGTTTTCCACTAATCACCCTTGCTGACATTCAGATAAGCACGCTAGCGCACTGAGGCATGAACCCACCTGCAAGCTGTCCATCATATATGGGGGGGGAGCGAAAAACAGTTGTTGTCAGTGACTTTTTTTTCTTCATGTCTTGATTTTAGTTTGACTTCTTTCTTTTTAATTGTCAAATGTAATTTACACAATGGATCAGGTAAAATGCACACTGAAATATAAATGGAAAGGCAATTTTAGTTAAACAAATAAAAATAAAGAAATATTTTTTACTAACACTAGCTGCACAGTAAATAATATAGACCCGGGGTCCTAGTCGATCTTAAAGGGAGGGTATCAATCTGTGCTATTTACAGTGTTACTCATGCAAATCTAAAATAGCCCTATATATTTCAGGAGACCGCAAATTATGTAGCCAGAGCGATGTATGGTTGCATTTCATCTTTAATACAAACGATACGGGGCGGTGTGACGCCTTTTCTTTTTCTCGCTTACCTGCTGATCACTTACCTCCGTATGGACTGCTTTTCCACTGTTACCAGTTTGTCCAGTAGCTCGTCATGTACATCAACAAACTTGAGACGCAGAGCAGAGTTGATCACGACAATGGAGTTTAAGTCCAGTAAAGAACTGTTCCATAAAGCAGGTAACACAAAAACAAAAGCTAAAAAATAAAATAAACATAAATAACAGGGTGAGAATGTGGTAAAATCATTTACATTTACATTTAGTCATTTAGCTGACGATTTTTATCCAAAGCGACTTACAAATGAGGACAAGAAAGCAATTTACACAACTATAAAAGCAACAATAAATAAGTGCTATAGGCAAGTTTCAGGTTTGCAAAGAAAGTGTAAGAAGCAAAACAGTAGTATTATTTTATTATTATTATTATTGTAGTTAGTGGAGGGGTCAGAGAGGGAATTGCAGATTAGTAAGGAAAGTGGAGACTAAATAGTTGAGTTTTAAGTCGTTTTTTTTTTTTGAAGACTCAGTGAGTGACTCTGCCATTCTGATGCAGTTAGGGAGTTCATTCCACCAACTGGGCAGATTGAGCGCGAGAGTTCGGGAAAGTGATTTCTTCCCTCTTTGGGATGGAACCACGCGAGGAAAATCAGGCGAGGGCTTTTTTTTTTCTGGATTGCTTTTTAAAACACTGCCGTTTGGTTTGGGGAAGGGGGTGGGTGAATAAATCTGTGCTTTTTAAAACACTATTGGTTGGGGTTAGGGAAGCGGGAGGGTGGGTCAGTCGATTAGTCAGTTAGTCCGTCATTCAGTCAGTCGACAGTCAGTCAGCAATGACGTCTGGTGGATTTACGCAAGAACAGCAGACATGAATAGCACTCGTGAGAGAAATTTGAAATCTTAAAAAGCATACACAGCGACCTCTGGTGGATTCGCATGACAAAACTGCAAGAAAAGTATTTATGTATTTTGCTCTCTCCAGAAATGTATATAGGGGTACATAATCAAAGTTAGCCAGGGTTTTGCAAATTATAGACCAGCTGCTAAGATATATTTGCACCTAAGGCAGAGATTTTCTTTGTCATACATTATATCATATATCTGACTTGGTACTAGTTTTAGATTTGTTTGTTTTTACGGACATTAGTTTATGTCATTAAAGGAGGAATTCCTTATATTGCCACTTCTCATGGTAGAGCATGCCCCATCATCAGCTTCACCCAGGATAAAGCAGCTTTCACACTGGTTGCGGAAAGTGTTGTGCTATGAAACCCATTCTTTTCAATGGCTTGCACCGCTCAAGGGTGCTTTGTTGCAGCACTGACCAAAGTGCACAAGCAGCAAAGTGCGCCATTGATACAATCTCTTTCCTTGTCTTTGTCTAGGCAGAAGCTTAGTTTTTAGCACTACAAAGTTTTGAATCTGGAAGCCATAGAATATTACCTCTTGCACTGGACCACACAGAACAAAATTGTAGGCATCTAAACTTATAGACATTTAACTTCTCTTTTGGAAATCACTTGGGACCTCATGTACCAATGCTGCGTATGCACAAAAACTTTACGTACGGCAGGTTTCACGCTCAGAATCGCTCACGTTTGGATTTACTAACGATGAAATGAACGTGAGAATGTGCGCTGTTCCATGCCAACTTCTTGCCTGGCGTACGTACATTTCTTGTGTGTGTTTGTTTATTTCCACTGGTGACTCCTAGAGGCAATTGTGTTAAATTGCAAAGTATTTTTGAGCCGTGCAATGGCAACTGACAGCTGTATGGGACGAGATCATCCACATGTCTAGCAGGCATATAAGGTTTCCATAGCATACAGTTGACCAGCCAAACATTAAAGCGCAACTTGCAGGGATTGCAGGTTTTCCCAACGTAATCAGAGGGATCAACTGCACGCACATTGCTATAAAGGCGCAAACTGGAGATGAATTTGCATATGTGAATCAGAAACATTTCCATTCAATAAATGTGCAAATAATATGTGATGCTCAAATGCGCTTAACATAATACACACACTTATTAATGATTCCTATTTGTCTTCCTCGTGATGGAAAAGTAGACAATATCTGATATGTAGTGGGGGGAAAAGAATGAGTTCATCTGATGCTGGATTTGAACCGCTTTCTTGAATGACAGTGTCAAAACATGTTGCCATGTGTGTTACGCGCTACGCTACTCACACTACTGCTTTCCTACCTCTTTAGCTTTTTTGTCTCTGCCGATGGCGGAAATCGCTCAACTAGCTCATTCCAATGAC